GGGCGATCTCAAGGCACCTGGCTCCTGGCCCTGGGCGATTCAGGTGTGGGGTGATAGACTCAGCACTGCTAGGTCTGTATGTGAAAGGCATGCTCCTGGCCGACCCTCTGCCATCTCTAAGAACTGGCTGACCGCAGGCAGGGCGGTCTCTCTTCAGCCAGCAAGATGTTTAAGATGTCAAAACGTCCTAAGATACAAATAATGAATGGCGGAGGCTCCAGTTGGGGGCTGGTGAGGGATGTTCTGGTCAGGGAGAGACATCCCTAGGGACCGCCGTTTAGGATGGCCCCTCCCAGCCTCCCCGACCCCACTGACCCACCCTCCTTCTGCCCGCAGGTGGGGCCCATCGAAGCCACATCCTTCACCCTCAGGGCTGTGCGACCCCGAGCCAGGTACCACATCCAAGTGGCCGCTCAGGATCTCACCGACTATGGAGAGCTGAGCGACTGGAGTCTCCCCGCCACCGTGTCCGTGACCCTGGGCAAGTAGCGGGTGTCCCAGCACCCAGGAAGAGGGGCTGGGTCCTCGACATCCACCTACCCAAAGGTGGATGGGACCTGAGTGTCCCGGCTTCTCTGCTGCTGACTTGTGGGGAACCCACAAGTGACAAGTGACTTTGCTTCTCTGAGCCTGAGTTTCGTGTGACGTGGGGGTGTACTCCCTCCTTTGCACAGCTGCGAATGTGAAATCTTTGTGTCGTTTAATTAGACAAGAAATGGGAATGTACTCCCTCCTTTGGCTGCACAGCTGCAAATGTGAAATCTTTGTGTCGTTTAATTAGACAAGAACCGCTGTCACTGGACTCAGGACTCCTCTTTTCGTTAACAGACCCAGAGAGGGCAGGACAGAGCAGGACGCACACAGCAAATCACCCCTCCAGTGGATGGGGTCGGGGCTGGGCCGGAGGAGGAGACATCCGGAAGTGGAGGAAGTTGGGGTGGGGTGGCGGGGGTTCTGCATAGATGGGACCCTGGGATTCACTCGGGTCAGCAGTTCGGGTCCCCTACCATCTCGATACCTGTCCAGATGTGAGCCCCCGTGCGGGCGTGCACACAAATGGATCATGAGTTTGGGAAGATTTCTCTGAGGAGGAGGCAAAGCGGCCAGGCCCCAAAGGATTTTCTCAATCCATGGGCTTGTCTGTGGATTTCAGTAGGTCTCATCTCAAAGGTCACGTCCTCTGAGAAGCCTTCCCTGACCACCTCGTCTGTGACAGGCAGAATAATGCCCGCCCCACCCGCCCAAGATATGCACATCCTAAGCCCCGGAACCTGTGAATATGGTAATTTGCAGGTGCGGTTAAATGAAGAGTTGTGGGGCTCCTTAACTCAAAATGTAATGATATTTCATTAAGTTAATGGGCATCAAGGAGGGTCACCTTGGATTATCCAGGTGGCCCCAAGAAAGTCACAAGGATCTTTACCCTAAAGAGGCAGGAGGGTTGGAGGGAAGGACAGAAAGAAGGAGACACGGCAGTGAAAGCGGAAGTCGGGGTGACGCAGGGCCACGAGCCAAGTATCGCAGGCTCCTCTAGTCACTGGAAAAGTCAAGGAAACGCCCCCGCCCCGGCGGAAGTCAGGGCGAGCAGGGCCACGAGCCAAGTATCGCAGGCTCCTCCAGTCACTGGAAAAGTCAAGGAAACGCCCCCGCCCCCCACATCGCGCTTCCCAGCCCCAGAACTCCGCGATCACGGACGTGCACTCACCCGCCGAGCTGGTGGCCGTTTGTTACAGCAGCCACGGGGGACTCGGGTGCCACCTCGAGTGGCCCCTTCTCAAGGGCGAGCAGGGCCACGAGCCAAGTATCGCAGGCTCCTCCAGTCACTGGAAAAGTCAAGGAAACGCCCCCGCCCCCCACATCGCGCTTCCCAGCCCCAGAACTCCGCGATCACGGACGTGCACTCACCCGCCGAGCTGGTGGCCGTTTGTTACAGCAGCCACGGGGGACTCGGGTGCCACCTCGAGTGGCCCCTTCTCATCGCTTTCCAGACGCTGCCCTGTCTCGTCTTCGCAAGGCGTGCCGGGCCCCCAGGGTCCTTTCTGTGTGCTCACTGTCTGTCTATCCCTCCAGACGGTGACCGCCGTGAGGACAGGAAACTTATGTCTTGTTCGCTGCTGTGTCCCCAGTGACCGAACACATATGTGACACAGAACAAACATTTATAAAAGCACGGGGTGTGGGGGGAAGGAATGGGGTGGGAAGTCCTGGTTAAACGGAAAACATAGGCAGGCTGTGGTGGGTGATAGTTGACAGCTAGTGTGTGTATGGGGGGGCAGGTGGGGTTGCAGGCTGGTCTTTGGGCCTCTGCCTGTGACTCGAGATAAACTCGGGGAGGGCCGTCCAGGGTACCTGCCACGACCCGTGTAGCCCGCGGGAACTGCCCGCAGATCCCACGTGAACATCAGGGACACAAAGCATGCGTGGGTCCCAGAGGCCCCCACACGGGGTAAGCGCTCAACAACGAGTGGGCTTTTTGTTTTTTTGGTTTTATTTTGCTGAATAAAAGAATGGACAACGGAGTGTCACAACAAGATCACGTCACGACAAGATTTCAACAGGCCACTGCCGACCTCCAGGGGCACAGCGCCTTCCGGAAGGTCCCCAAGTCCAGCTGCCCCGGAACCTTAGTAGCGCCCTAGCTAAGTTGCAACCGGAGGGAAGACAGCCGGACTGGGATTTTTGACAGGCGTGGACATCACCCAATGAAAAAGGGAAGCTGTGTAAACTGCAGCCAATAGCGGAGCGGGAGGAAGTACCGGTGCCGGAAGTACCTGGGCGGCCTGGGCGGTGCAGGGAACACCAACCCGAAAGACGTCTCTCCCGTGTGTGAGAAGAGTAGCAGGCGAAGATGTCGGAGAGAAAGTCTTGACCCATTTCCTGTTTAGTAAAAAGAAAAAACGCGTCTCGCCGCCCGCGTCAATTTAATTTTACATAAACACGCTCTTTGAGGTTTGAGGCTGAAGCAAATCTGTCCGGTTTTCAATGTGAAAATAAAATACAGAAGCTGTTCTTGAGGCTATTTCTAAACAGGACTTGTCTCTAATCCTGGTATCACAGAAATACGTACATAAATCGGATTCATCAGCTGAATCTTCGGCGGACAACGTCACGTTTCGGAACGCTACCTTTTCTAGGATTTGAGGTTCTCCGCAATCGAGAATTGCTGCGTTTCGTAACTGGAAATGCCGCTACTGAAAACAGAAAGCTGTCATCAGAACAATGCCATTTGTTTCCAAGGACCATCCACAGACTAGAGCGATGTGCACATAATAATAGCAGCGAGGGAGTTGGCGGCCAGCTTAGGGCGTGAGGTCAGGGCCATCATGCGCGAGTTATCCCGGGTCAGACGCTGCCGCCGCCAGCACCACCGGCGAGCGTTTTCGGGCCAAACGGGAAATGGGTCAAGCGGAAATGTTGGGTGTCAGGGGCTTTGTCCCCAGGGTGGGATGTCTCGGAGCCTGGCCACCGTGGGCTCCCCATCTGGACTTTTCTCTCCGGCCAGCCTTGCACGGGCCGGGACGTCCCTCCCGGTCACCTGCCATGGGAACTGGTCCTGCACTAAACCTTCCCCTCTGCCGGGCTGTACCCAGCTGCCTGGGGGACGGGGGACAGTGCTTCGGTTATGTACCTGCCTGGGTTTTCCGTAGGGACTTGTCCGGTCGCATCCCTTGGGGGCTGCTTCCTTTAATGCATTGGCATGCTCCGCTGCACCTTCGCGTCCTGCTGCATCCCTTTTTGAAGTCCCCTCTCCGGTCTGCGGGCAGGGAGCCCTTTCAACTGCCTCCACTCGTCCTGACTCCGTCAGGGCAAATCCAGGATGCCTGAGAGGAATCTTAGGATGAAATTGGGAAGGGCAGAATTTTGAGCAGGTGCTGACTTTGGGCAGGGAAGAGAGCTCTGGCCTGCTTCCATCGCCTACTGGTCGATAACTTCCGTGTGCCGGGTGCTGCGCTAAGTGCCATGTTCATCATCGAGTCCTTGCAGGCGGACGTGTTACATCCATTTGGATGAGGAAACTGAGGCCCAGAGAGGCTACGCGATAGCCAGGGCGTGGTGGGGTCGGACCCAGACTTGGCTGCGGTCACACGCTCCAGGCTCTTCCTAGAATCGTGTCCGGCTCTGCTGTTCGCACTGCGTGACCGTGAGTCGCTGGGGCCACCGTGAGACTCGGTGCCCTCCTCTCTGAAATGAGTGGGTCGCTCCCCGGTTCATAGAGTCTTTGAAAGAGCTAGAAAGTGCTCCATGTGGTGCTGGGTGCCCAGTAGGTACTCAAAACACGGCGTGCCTCTCCCTGCTGATTTTCCAACGCAGTTATTTTCCACAGTCCAAACGCGCCTTCTCCGTGACCCCCATTCCAGGCTCCCATGCGGAGAGTTTTACTACGGCGGCTCCGAGGCTGCCTTAGAAGGGCCAGCCTGCGAGGCTGGACCTCAGCTAGCATCCGGGAACTCAAAGTTCAGGACGGTTCCTGCATACGGTATGTGTATGATGAGGTTCCCTGATACGGTATGTGTATGATGAGGTTCACGCCGGGCACCCGCTCCCCAGGACCAGCCCCCAGTGAGAATCCTGTCGCTGAGTCGCTATGAGCATCCTTGAGACGACGTTTCACACATGTCCCGATTCACCGCTGGGGGAATGCAGCTCGTCCTGTGAGACTCCATTGGGAGAAGATTCTGGGAGTTCGCGCCGGGCCTCCCTGGGCCCGTGGCTTCTCCCTTTGCTGGCTTTTCTCTGTGACCTGCTGTGACAGATGGTCACCGTGAGTACGACGGAAAGCTGAGCCCAGGAGTCCTCTTGTCAGATCGTCAAGCCCGGGGGTGGTCTCGGGGGACCCCGGCACAGCTCCCAGAGACCCTTCCCTCTGCCCCTGGCCTGCTTCTCTGGCACTTCCCTCCTCCCCACAGAAACACTGCCCACCCGAACTTGACCTGTCCCAGGAACGGAGCTCAAGCTCCCTACAGGCCAGCAGTACCTGCTGCAGATGACGGGCCCCTCGACATGAGGTGAGCGCCCCGCCATGGGCCACCCCCGCACCAGTAGTGGCAGACTGGCCCGGTTCCCAGGGTCCACAGAAACCCTGGCATTCAACCCAGGTCGCCAGTTCTGGCTCAGCCACCAACCTCGTGAGCAAGTGACCGCTTCAAGCCTTGCTTCCCCACCGTTCGGGGCTAATCTCCCAGCCAGCGCCTGCCCGGAGATCCTGCCCCTCGGTCGTAAAGTGTGAGCAGGGAGACGGGCCCTGTACCACACCCACCTCGTCCAGCATCCAGGAGCTCCCGCCCCAGGACCTTTGCACAAGCTGCTCCCTCAGTCCAGAACACTCTTCTGTTCTCACGTGGCTGGCTCTTCTTCACCCTTCCGGTCTTGGCTGAAATCATGGCCCCTCACAGACCTCCTCCTGTCCCCCCATCCAACCCATCTGTTGTCTGCCCATCACAGTTCTCGTATCTTGTTCTTCTACCCCTTGGGAATTACCATATCTTACCAATTCACGATTTTTCACATTTTAGCGTATTCGAAATCAGATACACCTGGTAATCAAAGACGCCTTTGTTCAGTAAAATTCGGTGCGTGTTTACACGTTGTCGATCTGTCTATTTTCTCTCTCTCCTTTCTTC